CCCCCCCCCCCCCCCCCCCCCCCCCCCCCCCCGTGTAGACCAGGCCAAAGAGGACGCTGATCCATGGGAGCAAAACCAAGGTGGCCAGTTCTCTGAGACTCCAGCAATTGGTGCCAGGTGATTGGAAAGGATGTCATGGTTGACAGTATGAAAAGCAGCACAGGGGTCAAGAAGGATGAAGAGAGAAAGAGAGTCAGATGAGAGGAGAGCACTTAACTGCCAATGGGTGGCAGGTTCTGCCCCAAGCTGAGTTGTACAGCAATGTCTGCTGTGCAATTTTAGATTTTAACTGCAAACCATATTGTTTTGTCATTTTTTGTTCTGAGTTTGAGAAAAGGAAGGAATGAGAAAGTGTCATATGAGTATCAGATGTGATTATACCTCAGATTAGGGTTTCAGCTGTATCCGGGCCAATTCCAGAACAAAGAACAGAAATTGCATCCACAGAGTGGATAAAGTCAATAGTTATTGTCATGATATGTTTTATTCACTGGGCACCATCTCTGTGCTCAGCACTGTTCAGAATGTGCCAGAAAATGTAGTTCCTAAGCCAATGTGTATAAGATGTATAACTCTGGATAAGATGGCTCAGATACTTAAATATGAAGTGTATAGTTATTGACCATATACTATCTCATGTTCACTGTGATGTTAATATTTATGAGTGGAGGCCCTGATGGCAATAGAAGTTTTACTTGATTAAAGACTAGAAGATTTGACCCTCCAACTTTCTTTCAAGAGGAAGAGCTGCTTAGAGCTCCTATGCATGTTTATTTTCCTTTCCTGCCTGAAGTGGCCCTGATATACCTCAGAAGTCTCAATTTTTTCTCAACTTTAAAATGGGGGATTTTCTTGGTGTTTGGTTTTAAATATTCTCCTGTGAAAACTGCAACTCAATCACTGTAGTGTTGTGTTGTGTTTAAGACCCTTCTGGAAAGTAACTAGCCTTTAAACAGAAGTGAAAGCAGTGTTGCCAACTCTCATGATTTTGTCATGAGTCTCATGATCATTATTGTTTTCCTTAAAGTCCCAGCTGCTGGAGTCAAGTGGATATGTGATGATTTCAGCCTTCATGTTGGGGGAGGGATAGCTCAGTGGTTTGAGCATTGGCTTGCTAACCCCAGGGTTTTGAGTTCAATCCTTGAGGGAGCTATTTGGGGATCTGGGGCAAAAATCTGTCTGAGGATTGATCCTGCTTTGAGCAGGGGATTGGACAAGATAACCTCCTGAGGTCCATTCCAACCCTGATATTCTATGATTCATTCTTAAAGAAAAAGTTTCTAGCCCTTGTGGCTGTAGAGAAAGCTTAAAATGTGACCCTGGGGCACCCTAAATGCTCAAAAAGCAGAATGCAAATAAAAAGAACACCAGATCTATTATTTTTACATAATCTCATTATTTTAAAGACAATCTCATGATTTTTGGTGAGCTTGATTCATGATTTTTGAACATTTGGGATTGGAAATACTATGAAAATGACTTGAAAGTGTCAGTTTCACTCCTGTTTAAAGTTAGTTTCTAGTCTATTTGTAGTGGGATAACACTCCTAGAGCCCCAGGCAGTTGTAATATAAATGCCTGGGGCCTTGCTCTAGTACGATATTTCCAAAAGTTAAATGATCTATTCCAAACTTGGTGAACTGCAAAAAATGATAGAAAGTAATCTAGGTTTTTCTACAATTGTTTCAATTGTTGTATTCAAGAGTTAGTAACAAAGTAAGTATAAGGCGGTAGCCGTGTTAGTCTGTATCCACAAAAACAACAAGGAGTCCGGTGGCACCTTAAAGACTAACAGATTTATTTGGGCTTAAGCTTTCATGGGTAAAAAACCTCACTTCTTCCTCATGAAAGTTTATGCCCAAATTAACAGATTTAGTTGGGCATAAGCTTTCATGAGGAAGAAGTGAGGTTTTTTACCCATGAAAGCTTAAGCCCAAATAAATCTGTTAGTCTTTAAGGTGCCACCGGACTCCTTGTTATTTTTGTAACAAAGTAAGATTATACAATAAAATTTTAAACCTAACTAGTGTCCTTTAAGTGAATTGACACAAGATGTTAGTATTAGAGCTGAGTGGGTCTAATATTTATTTAATTTTCTTTCTTTATATAGGAATTAGATACAGTACATCTTCAGATAATAATTTCTAAGTTATTATCTGCAAAACAACAAGAGTTTTCAGGTGCCCAAGTAGCCCCTGGAATCATAATTAAAGTTGCCCCTCCCCTCCTACCAAAATCTGAAATGGCACCACTGTATGTATCAAGTTCAACAGGGAGTTAGACTAAAATATATGTATTTATAAAGAGGGAGACCATACTTTCTGAAGAGAAAATGGGACACCATCTGGGGCTAGCCTGTGCCCTTCCTCCCTCCCACCCCTCTGGGCTTGCCCAATCCGCTCGCCTGAGCCCCTATTCTCCCCTGCGCAAAGCTGAGGCTGTCTTTGCTGCTTGCCCATGCCCTGCCTGCTCCCCCGCACGAGGATGGTGTTGGCATCATTGCTCACCCAAGCCCCTGCCTACTCCCCACCAAAGCCCTGCCTCCCCCCTTGCATGGGGCTGGCATCGCTGCTCCTGCCCACATTCCTCAGCACCCCACTTTTTTGACACAAGTGGACATTTGCTCATGTGATCAACTGATCTAGTTGGCAAGAGCAAACAGGACAAATGCCCAAAAAAGTCATGAAGGCCGGAACTGGGCTTAAAAAAGGGACTGTCCCAGCCAAACCGGTTTGTAGACTCACCCTATATATAAACTACTTGTAGGGTTTAATTAAAAGAAAATCCCCTCGTGCGTGTGTGTGTGTGTGTGTGTGTGTAAAAAAGTCTTTAAGCTGTACTGATGAAAAGGGCTATATAAAAGTTTGGTATTGTTTTCACAGGATGTGTTCACATTTCATATTCACTCTATTAGGTACTAGGATAAATCTCCCATTTTGTTCTTTGAAATGAAACAGGTATGTTCTTCCATATACAAACAGCTGTGTGTGTGACAGAGGAACTAACAAAGACAGAATTCTTTTGTACAGTGTCTTCTTTTGCCAACTAGAAGTCTGACAGGCACCTACACAAATATGGAGTTTTCTCTGGCTCTCACACTCTCTCTCGCTCACACACACACCGGATACAAAGAAATGAACTGGAGTCAGGCATAGAAGCACGTTTGCTGGGCTTCAACAGAGCAGTACTTCAGCCATTGTAACAATTTTATAGTAAAGTTTCGCACGCCCTGCAGAAGTTTACACGCACGATCTGGAATGTACACCCAGGAGAAAGCAAGGCTCGGAGGAATGGCTTCTGGAGGAAGGGCTCGGATTAATTGCAGCCCCTGATGTTGATCTCTTTCCGTTTCTTTCACCTTACCTTCCAAGTCACTTCGCAGCGGGACACCCCTCTATAGAACGCTCCCTGGAGCTTAATTACATTCGCTGCCACTAGGTGTCTCTGTTGTCAGCGCCTGCCTCGGGGATGGCACCGTGTTCACTGCTTGCCTGACTCCCGAGTGTAGCGGAAGAAGGGGAGAGGGCGAGGGGAGCGCTCTGGCTTTCCAGCTCCAAGTTTCACCTACCGATCGAAGTACACAGGCACTGGGGGGCGTCCCCTCCCCTGCATGGAGAATATCCCACCGCTCGATCCAACTTTCTATTTGTCTTTTCGCTGCTGCGAGGGTGAGGTTTAGTCACACAATAAAAGCAAACAGAAAAGTTCAGCTGGATCATGTTTCAGCATCACCCCTACCCCCCTGTTAGTGTGTTTCGGAGGGAGGGTGGATGAGTGTTAATTTGGCAGGATCCAGGCTTAGGGGGAGGGTTTTGCTGGGTGTCTCAGGGGGGAGGCAGCGGGAAAGCTCTCTGCCCCGCGGCACTCCCCGCCATGGGGGAACCGGCCCCGCTCGGGACAGAGCCCGCGTGGATCGCGACGCCTCTCTCCTGGGTGTGTGTTGGGGGGGGGCGGATTTCCAGTCACGGCTCCTAGCGCTGGAGAATTGCCCTTTACAAGAATAACGGAAGGAGGCAGATGCCGGCTCCTTCCCACCGCCACATAACCGCAGGCTTCCCGACTGAGGTGCAGCCCAGCTCCGCCCCCCTCCCCCCAGACGGACAGAGGGACAGAAAGTTCCTGGCAACCACGCAGCTTCCCCCGCGCCCCTGGCAAGTGACAGCCAAGGCGCGGGGTCCGAGGGGGGCCAGCGGACGGGGCGCGGCGCGGCGGGCGGGCGGGCGATGCCTAGTTCAGAGGCGCCTCCGCGCCTTCCCCGTTAAAGGCAGAGCACAGCCCCGCTCGGGACCGGCTCCTTACGTCGGCGCCAGCTGAGGAGCAAGCGAGTCTGCACTGGGGCGGGGGGCGCTGGGTTGCCAAGTGGACTTTTGTTGCTTTCCTCCCACTTGCGAGTGAGTCGATCACATCTGTCGGAGCCGCCGCCTCGTGTATGTCCCGTAGCCTATATAAGCTGCGGCGCCGGCCGCCATGGAGTAGCTTGTGGATGCAGCCTGTGCACCGGGACGGGACGGGACGAGGGGGGGGCAACAGGGAAACTCCGGGACCGCGGGCTGCTCCTCCGCGGGGGAGTGAGTGAGGGCAGCACCTGGCCGGCGCTGGGGAAGGAGAGACAGGTAACGGCGGTGCCGGGCTGGCGGGGCCAAGCGCTTCCCGCGAAGTTCAGACCCGGAGAGCCTGGCGTGCCAGGGATCAGCCGCGGGGCTGCTGCCGGCGGGGGAGGCAAGGCAGGTGCGAGGCAAGGAGGAAGCTGGCTCCTTCCCCTGTCCGGGGGCTTTAAGAGCCGGGGAGCGGGGGGGGGACGAGCGCCGCTGGGCTCCCACGTGCCTTCCCTGCCAGAGGCTCGGGACAGACTCGTGCACAGGACCCTGCGGTTAAACTGCCCCTGGTGCAGGAGCTTCTCGACTTCCCTAGGGCAGGAGGGACGGATTGCGCTGGGTCCCCAGGCTCCGCCAAGCCCGGCAGAGCAGCAAGCACAGCCCTCCGGTGGGGCTGGTGGCCGCTCGTTTGCAGCCTCTGGGGAGCAGGCTGCCTCTCGGCAGTGCCTCCCCGCTGGGCGCGGGTCCCCAGCGCCGTGCTGGTACCGCAGTGTAGTGGGAAGCAGTGACTGCGCATGCCGGGGGTTAAACCTTGGAATGGCTGGGCAATAAACGCTCTGTTTGGCTCTAGAAGTCAGAGCGCGTGTTAAGGTGCAAGTTTTCGAAAAGTTTCCGCAGTGGGCTGTTCCCGGCCACTCGCTGGGCAGACAGGTGCCTCTGTTTACGCAATCGTCCGCCGTCGGCCCCTCGTGGGCTGGGATTTACGCTGCTGTGTTTCAGCACTCAGGGACTGTCCTATGCCGCCGCGCTGGAGATAAGAAGGGGGGCGGGAGAGGAAAGGCCATGGGAGTCCTAGGAGTGCGCTCCTCCATGCAGCAGCCGCGCGCTCTCCACCGGTGTAGGCTACGGTGACATTTAAGAATGCCCGTCCTCTGGATCGGTGCGAGGAACGCGAGTCCCCCTGGGCTGCGCACTTCGGCGTCAGCACTGGCTGGACTGTGTAAAACGTGAAGGCAGCATGAAGTACTTTGACTCATGTAGCTTTCGGGCGGCTGAGCGGCTCTCTAGTCGGCACTGCAGGCGAGAATAAAGTTGCTGCTGTCAGGAGGGCAAGTAAAAGGCAGATTGTGCCATCTCCTCAACTGGTGCAAATCCTCTGACTTCACTTGAGCTCCGCCAATTTACACCAGTTGGGAATCTGGTCCATTTTAAAATCTAAGGAGGTAGTGGGAGGAAGGGAGGAAACAAGGCACCCCGATTACATAATGTGCAAAGTAGCCTCTTTGCTCTTCCCCTGTAGTATTTCTGATTTCACCCCCGTGACTCTCCCTTCCCCCACCCCCATTTTCTCTTTCAGTGAAATAGGAGTCCCCCCAAAGTGGATCATTTCTTTTCTTCTGCTCATTCACCCTCCAGTTCAGACTTGCAATGAGCGGACTGAAGTCTCCTGTGCTGCTGGGGCTGGTGCTCTTAATGCTGTCAGCAGGTTATTGCAAAGAGAGAACGGACTCCATAGACCTAAAAGACAGGCAAAGCCTCTTCAATCTCATCATGGAGATTATTCAGGAACTGAAAAGGCACCACATGGAAAAGGACAACGAGGTGCAATACTTCTCCAACCACGACTATACTTTAGACCGAAGAGAAGTAGCTGATTATGGAGAGTACCAGGACGAGCAGAGAGCTGGTAAGTCTGCTCCTTTCCTTTCCGGGCAACTGCTCTCCTTGAAGGGGAAATCAGGCATGACTATACTAGTTCTTATAGGAAGTGCTAACCCCTCAGGAGATCTGCAGACTTGCTTCAAAAATACAGAGGATTCCTACACAAGAAACTGGCTTTGAAAATCATAGAGTAGAATTCCATTCTCACTTCAGTTTAATGCATTAAGTTCAAAGCCAGATCTGCATGAGCTTTGGCTTTATACACTCTATATTTATAAAGAACAACAGTTAAATGGACTGGGGTAAAAAAATCAGGGATGAAAAGGCCTGCTTACCCTAGGTCATCTAGTCCAAGGGCCTGCAGTCTTGTGGATTATACAGTCTTAAACATCCCTGGACTTGACCTTGCCATCCCCCTGGGGAGACTATTCCACAACCTAACAGATTTCACACCTGGAAGTTTTTCCTGCTAGGCAGCCTCATTCCCCTTTTTGATAACCTTATTCATCCTTTAGCTTTTTGGTGCTTGCACCTTTCAAATATTTGTCAATTTCATCATTTGTCCCTCACCACCAGAGTCAACCCATGCAAATTTTAATTCTTTCCTTCTAAATCAGTCCCTACATCATTCTAATAATTTGAGTTGCTTTTCTCCTGGCTCTCTCCAGTCAATATTGTTTCTGGTAATAAGGTTTTTCAGAATGGTATGTAATATCCCAGATGCAGTCACATTAGACTGATGTAGAGAAGGGATGGTTATACTGTATGCCAGTTTCATAATGTCCTGCTTCTATGCATGCAGCTCAAAATTGAATTGGTCTTTCTTGCTTCCCTATTGCACTGTAAATTCATGTCTAGTTTACTGTTCACCATCTCTCCTAAACAGAATTACTGCCTCTCAATTTTCCCCTTCCCTTGAGTATCTAGGTTTGGGATTATTTTTCACTAGATATGTCAGTTTACACTTTCCCGAGCTGGATCTCATTTTGTTATTTTCTACCCATCTCTGTTGATCTCTCTAGACCCCTGTGTATCTTTTCTTTGTACTCAATGGTGTTCACAACTGCTCCTAATTTGGTGTCATGACTGTCATTAAAATGTGATTTTAGTCTCTTAGCTAGATCATTAGTGAAGATATTAAATAAAACAACCTAACAGTTCCCCATAAACTAAGTACAATAAGAACAAGCTTAATGGGCCAGAGTAACCAACTATTCTGTGCAACTGTAGCAAAGCAAAGCAGCTGTAAACCCAGTTTAACAAGGAGGTTAAGCAGAGTTTATGACTGTCCTGCATAAGCAAATCAGTTTAAAGCATCTGGCGTGTACTAGTGAATATGGCTCAATGAGAAAACCACTTCAGAAACAGACTAGCTGGTATCAGTGTCATTGACTCCTGAAAGGGATGTTTTATTATTATTGTTGTTATAATGGAATTTATTCCCAGCAAAGCTGCTGCCACTGAAAAGAAACTATTGCTTAGAGCCCTCCTTTATTTCAGTCTTAGCATCACTTTCCCAGCGCGTCTGTCCCATGGGAAACTTCTGAGAGAAGCATGTAAGCTTTTAATGCTCGTCATGACACAATTAGGTCAAATATGATATGGTCAATTTTACTCAGACTGACTAAAGTTAGAAGTAAATGAACTATGACTTTTGAGAAATGTCTAAGCTCACCAGTGAATCAGAGCTGGGTGGAAATGTTCTCTGCTTTAAATGTGATAAGAGGTGCCAAGGGAATGAAAAGGCTATTTAGGCATTTATGGTCAAATAAATAAAGTACAGTATCATATGCAATCAACACTAAGCTGTCGGCATAGTGTTAGTAACTGAAAGCAATCAAAGATAACTGTAAATCAACAGGACACAAACAAGAGTTGATGCTAACATGGATTTCAGTAAACCAGTTTCATTTTGGCATCTGCTGAACACAAAATGCAGAGAAGCAAACCACAAGAGTGGGGAAAAGTAATTTGTTTTTATATTCCTGTGAATTTTATTTAATGCTAGAGATAAAACAAGGACTATTTCTAGATTTCCTGTAAATATAACAATTAAATCTCATGTTCACAATAGCTATTTTAGATAGTGCTTGTCAACACTTGCCTGTGTGACAAAACAGTGCAGATGGTTGTAGGAGAATGTTGCATAGACAACCACAGAGCAGCCCAGAGACCATTCCCTGGTGTGTCTTTGAACCTTTACCACTGGTAGAGTCTGCACAGTTTCTAAACACTAGTGACCTTAAAGTGATACATCTAGATAAGGGGTAGCCAAAATGTGGCCCACAAAGCCCTACAGTGTGACTCATGATTACTCTCATTTTTAATGTGATTGTGGGGCTGCTGGACACTATCGGTCCCAGCATTGCAATGCTCCACCTTCTTTTTAGCAGTCTTTCTATATGAAAGATAAAGGCAGCTACAACTTGTTCCACTTTATGACTCTCAATCTCCTAGTAAATAGTTATTTTGAGTCTCAGCTGAGCAAAATTTTGGCACCTCTTGTGGTAGCCCTACCATCCTTGACAAACACATTTGCAGTGGAATATAATAAATACTTTTTTCCCCCCAACAGAAATAGTTCCTAGAGATTTGAGGATGAAAGACAAGTTTTTAAAGCATTTAACAGGTAAATTTAAATTTTGCATTGTATCCATTATTTCATACACATACCACCTAAGCCCTATTCCCCTTCTGCTAAGCCTTTTGTGCTGTATTGACTCATGACTTGCTCTTTTTCTGTATTTCAGGTCCTCTCTATTTTAGTCCAAAATGCAGTAAACACTTTCATCGGCTTTATCACAATACAAGAGACTGCACCATCCCAGCTTGTAAGTGCCAAAGCTAACTTTTTTAAAACAGAAAGCTATTGATTGGGGTAGCTACAGGAGATAATAGTGGTAATACTGTACAACTGTACAGTGCCTTTCAATTAAAGGGTTCAGAGTGCTTTATAGATATTAATAGATCTTCACCTCCTGCCTGTGAGGTAAGTATTATCATTCTCATTTTAGAGATGAGGAAATTGAGGCACAGAATTTCCAGTGGATATACTGTGTAAAATGATTGTTAAAACTGCTTTCTAGGATTCCAGGTTTATTGTCGTTTCATGTCTCCAAATCAAGTGCACTCAATTTACCAGAAAAAAATTAATTGCTAGTGCTGCAAACTTAATTTGGGATCTGAAAGCCAAGTGGGGCTACTTCCTTTTCATGCATCATCACTTATAACACATACTCTACAGACAAATTATGGCATGTTACATTTTGGCAACTTCATGGTCTTCCAATTATGTCCTCAGTGGCACCTTTGAAACCCTCTTTTCTTCAGCAGGTTAGAAAGGTGTATTGTACTGAAAGTTAATAAACAAATCAACTGATGGATAGGAATGAACAAATGTCTCAGCTGTGTTGACAGTGCAGTGCGAAAAGGACTACAGATGAGCAGGAATTATTTTTTTGTCACAGCAGATTCTGAATACAAACCGGGAGCAGACCTGTTGTGTAAGAAGCAGCTATTTTTCCAAAGCCTTTTTCAGAAGAGAGGCACACTTTAACGTATATGTCCATGGTCACCTAGTGGGTCAGTTGAGGAGCTGGAAATAGAACCAAGACTTCCTGACTCAAAGTTCCATGCTTTAGGAAGGTTTTTTCCCCCTTTTGTAACAATCTGTACATTTTAATATTACATATATTAAGAAGTGTGAGCCTTCTTCCCATTTAAAATATGGATAATCTAGTAGTATATTTGAAAGAAGATGATGGTCTCCACCTAATTTCTAGTGGACCAGATCACAAAAATCAACATCATATTCAGCACTAATTGGAACATTCAGCAGTGAAGCCAAGGACCAAATGGGCTTAAAGACTGAATTAGCTCTTTCCCCACAGATGCTTCATATTGGTGGGAAGTAGTGGAGAGTTGGCACTGGTGGTGTTTGTACTCAACCTGTCTTATGAGTAGAGGGCTCTAGGGCTGACAATCTGGCACCTTTCACAAGCACAAGACTTACTTAAACATTAGTGAAATTATAACCAACAGTATAATGGATAATCAACCATAGATGTCACTTTATCAATATGTCTTTCAGAGAACTTCTCATGGAATCTTGAAATATGTATGCTGCTTTTATTCTCAGTGTATAATAGCCTTAGCTTGGTTTAGGTGGTAATGTGAGTACTGTACCGCTTTTATAATTCTGATTTCTGGTTACAGCTACCTACTATTATAAAGACAAATGAGACACGAAAATAAAGCACCTGTGGTTTGCTGCCTCAGAGAGGGAAAAGACCTATCCCACTGCCAGTACAAGAGTATTTCCTCCAGTACATTTTCTAGTGCTTTTTGCGGTTTGGTAGTAGGATACATTTTTAAGGTCAGGTTTTATATATCAAGAACTACTGACACTTGAACTGTAACCCAGGCTGCTAGCTGTAGAACTGCAGGAGGTCTTTAACTGAGCATGTGAGCAATCTTTGAATAATTCCTTTTCCATTTGCACTGCACACAGATTGCACTGTACACAAAACAGATCACTTGACTGAACGTTGTAGGTATGAAACATTTTCAACCGTGACTGCTTCAGTTTTACTCACTACACCACCACCACTCATTATCTGTGTAACAAGACTATGCAAAGATCTAAAGAATATAGTGCAGGGAACCATCCTATCCTGCCAGAGGAAACATAAGATGTAACTAGTCTTTTTTTTAATTCTATGAACTCAAAGATATTTAGACCCCTAACTTCATTTCAATAAGAGTTAGATACCTTTGAAGATCTGAGCCTCCAAGACACTAGTGCTTTGTTCTTCAATTGTTCTAGGACAATTAGTTGGAGGTCTGCACTATTATTTATCTTGGTATTATTAGTTCACAGAGAGCTGCATTTCAATGATGGGACAGTGCCACTTCAGACACCTAATTTGCACAATCAGATGCCATGATTGCAGCTTCGGATCCAACACTTGTGCACACCATAGTTAGATGTATAACTGGCCACATATTCATACACACAGGCTGTCTGCATGCACAATTGTGATGTTTGTGTACAGAACCAAAGAATTTGCAAAGAAAATGCACAGAAATTAGGCACCTAATATTTGAATGGTAATTCTTATGTCTATGGGGCCAATGTCTAGCCTGTTATAACCCAAGTCTTTAAATCAAAGTACTCATTAAAGTTAATTATGATAGTTTGCACAGCACCTCTATCAATTTTATTTTATTTTTTGAAACCAAAATCTGTGACTTTAGCAGTGTCATTAAGTTATTGTATTTATGATCTTTTTCATGGCAGACTATAAAAGATGTGCCAGGCTTCTTACTCGGTTGGCAGTAAGTCCAATGTGCATGGAAGGATAAGGTAAGCTTTTTGATAGAGGTAATAACATTCTACTGCATAGCAAAGCTGTGGATTTTGCATTGTGGACATAAAAAATTCATGAGTGTAAAAAACAATCTTCCTTTGGCTAAGGTATTCCCTTTTCAGAGCACTTGACATAACTATCTTAATCTGGGAAAATACTGGCCATAAATAAAGGGTACCCCCTACTGGAAGGCATTATAAAGACCCATAGACATCAGCTGTGAATTATTCATAGCAGTATGCAGTTAGCAGATAGTGAATTTGCTTTTATAGAACAAAACACAGCAGCCATAGCTGATTTTTTCAAGTTGACTCAGTGTACAATTGTGTTTATTGGCACTGGCTGCCCTTTAACATCCACAGGTTTAAATTTATTGGGTACATTTTAATATGGATTAATATATACATAACTATACATATGTAAGTTTTTAAAACATAGATGTCATTGGTATTTCTAGAATAATTGTTGTCATGTACCCCCAATTTGTATGTTACTCAGATTTCTTTGGATTTCCATTATGTTCAACTTCTGCTCCAAGGGATTATTTTTCCTTGATGCACCTGCTTAACTCTTTTTAGAGAAATGGGAATTTCAGTGCACACAAAAGGAAGAATGTCCTCCCAAAATATCTATACCTCTAGGAGTTGACTTCTTGCACACTAGTCCACGTCCTGTCCCCCGTCAGCTGAGACAAAAATACAGTTGAATGTGATTTATTTATATGAGAATTTTTAATAAATTCTATATTTTAGTTTTCCCTGGATATTTAAGTTATATATAAAGTCACTAACTGAAGGTTGCAGGTCAGAATTATGACTTCAAATGAAGCCCAAGTCTTTTCTCATGTTTCTTGTCTCTCTCTCTCTTTCTTCCCTATTTTTCTGTTCATACAAGACATAGCTTTACAAGTAGACCAAACCAGCCACAAATTAGATCTGTAGGTTCCTGAGGTCCTGTAGCTGTAGAAGTGCTCCCTTTTCTGAAAACTTTATTTACTCTTAGTAATGTAGTCATGGAGGCAACTCCATGATCCAGATCTTGCCTGGTTAAGGGTGAAATCACAGAACCTATTGCATATGGCACTTAGACTTGTGAGACTGATGTTGGGTATGTGAGGTAAATTCCTTGTTCTAGGTAAGGGAACTCTGCAGTTCTAAGGTAGTGAATTGTGCAATTCAGGGAGCAAGTTAGCACCTATCATCCAAACATTCTACTGCAAAACAGATGGAATGGTACTGCTACAAATACCTGCCAGTAAGCATAG